TTCAAGCCGACGAAATTGTGTATTGTGTATGTATCCGCGGCTTTGCTTGGATCGCCATGCACTATAAAGAGACTTCGCATTGGTGAATGATTCATCGTCAAAATCATAATCGAGCGACTGAGAAAGGAGTTGAGTAAACCACGAAAGAAATGGAGGGCAAGAAACTCTTTTGTGTTCTGATCCTCGTTGTCTCTCTTCTCGTGATTGAGAGGATTCGATGGCGTCCAGAATTCCGGCCCAGAATAGCCCTCCTGGTACTATGTTCTTTTTTTTTGCTCCGTCTCTAGTTATTTTCCTTTATTAGATTATTGTTACCATTTGCCTATGTATCTTCGTGTGTACATGAAGGAAAATCACAGCCCACCTACCTTATGTATACATAAGAGAAGGTTGGTTGATATATAGGAAGTATTTTCTATGGTTTTACGATCTAGAAGCTGGATGTAGTCAAGGATAGGGGTGATCGGTTTCAAAATGGGTAGTATTAAAACCGGTTCCTTGTTTTTGTAACCTCGAATCGATCCTAGAACCTATCTTATTTTTCTGATCCAGTTCCAGGGTTTTTTTTTTTTTTGCTTCATTTTTTTTAAAACGTAGACAAATAGTAGTTACAACAAAATAGTATGAGTAACAAAATGGCTCAAACTAAAATATCGATAGAAAACAAATAGAAATATAAATTAAAAGGGAAGTTAAGTTCATTTAAGAAAGATAAACACTTTACCGCTGCCTTCCACCCACAAATAGATGGACAATCTAAGCGAGTTATACAAACATTAATGGACATCTTCTTCCAACTTCATAAAAGGGGTTCTAATCATCGGTGGGTAGGTGGGTGAATTGGTTTAGCACCCAGAACTTGGAACCTACTCGCATAGTACCGGTTCCAAATATTTGGAATTGTCCAGTTCCTGGGTAGAGCCGAACCGGTTGTACAGCCCTAGTCGAGGATATGATTGTCCTTTGTGTCAGACAAATTTTTTTATTTTTTCGAATTTTGGTAGGCATTTTCCTTGTCGTATGAAACACAAAGAAATTATAGGCAAATTAGCTCCTTGGGTACGACAAATACTAATAACATCATCATAAAAGAAAATCCTGGGTTGAATCGATTCAAAGTAGTCGATGAAATTAAAAAAAGTACTCTCCAAACGGTCAATTGCCTCATGGATGCAATTCAATTTGATCGAATCAACTGATTTATAAGCCATGCTAACTTGCTAATTCATGTCTGCTCGACCGTTCTGTTGCATGCAGACAAAAATGGCAATAGGATCAGTGTGGTCGGGAGCGAGCCGAAGAGGGACAAGAGTAGGAGAGGTGGTGGTGCAGACTCGGGGACAGTCCCGGGGCCTCCACCGGCGACAGAGACTACGATATCACAAGCTGGCCAACCTAACACATCTGCAAGCGCCATCGTCATCGCCCCTAGCAATGCTGAAGTCAATGTCTCCGCTGCGTTTCTCCTACCGGTGCCACTCTCGAAGAGCAGTGTCACTAGCACCACCGCAAGAACCCGCCTTAGTAGGGCCATCTCGAAAACCAGCGCCAGAATTCCTAACCATCCTCGATAGTTGTTGAAGAAAAAACCTTGGTGTATTGTCGTTCAGTTTGTTTCTTCTGGGGATGATCTCATTCTTGTTCGATTGAAGTGATAATGTATTCTTTTGTAGAGTCGTGTTTTTAAGTATAATAAGCATGTCCAATTCGCGTGTAAGGTTGAGTCTTGAAGTGAATGTCTTTTCGTCAGAGAAGTCGCAATTTCTTTTATACGTTACACAAAGCTGTGATGCCAAAGCTGTGCATCAAGATTTGTCATAAACAGAGAGGTACTGGAGAAGTTATCGCATGATTTATAAATCATATGAATTGAGATTATTGAACATGAATCATGTGGTCTTGCCATGGGATCGCATGATCACTAGTCTAGATAGGTTTGGTTGTGGCAGAACTTACGCCTTTAGCATGTCGTGCAATACACCACGAACAATAATATTTGAGACAATTCCAAAGAAAAGTAACAAGATAATGAAAAGAGATTACACCAAGATTCATGTGACTCGGTCTAAATTGACACCTACGTTCATGAGAAGAGCGGTCGCAAAATTTCATTGTGAGTCTGGAGAATTTACACACTCAATTATTCAATTGCTCAAATGTTTTCCGACGCTAAAGAAACCCAAGCAATCTTACAAAGGTTTTTCTCACAATATCTCATAGCTATCACATCTAGAAATAAAAAAAAAAAAAAGAAAACCTTAAACTCCTCTTGATTCTCTAATTGTCGTGACCTTCCTCGAGGTGCACTATTAAGAGATTAATGGATTACTAAGGTACAAATTATTACTCATTAAAGAGATGGTATCATCGCGGCTTTCGCAAATCCATACCAATCGCAACTTGAATATGCAATTAAACTTACCTCGGAGCCACCACTGATCATCGATGGGTCGATTGGACACACAAATAAAATGTGGGAGTACATTTTACTTTTGTGAATCAAAGGTCCATGGATCCGAGAACTTAATTACGCTAGATTATACTAACCTCCTTTTGATAATCTTTTCTTTTTATTTTGAACATTTTTTGCATGCAATCTTTGTTTAACTAATACAACAAGATGCAAAAGTAGCCCCTAAAACACTGACCGAAATCTATGTATGTTTGCTTGAATAATTAATATTACTAAATGATATGCACAAAGTAAATTTCTAAATAACATGCATAAATTAAATATTTAAATGAATTTAATTCTATATGCAATGTGATTAATGAAATGAATTAGATGTCCTAATTATCTGTTCTAATGCTAAGTTAAACTTCAAGCAAAAGTATTCTAGTAAAAGGATAACTCTACATCAAAGGATGACCTTCAAGCGAAAAGATAATTATAAAGACATAATCCTCAAGCTAAGATAACCTTAAGCTAAGAGACAACTCTTTTAACAGAAATTAACTTTCAAAATCATGTTAAATGTTATTCAAACATGCATCGAATTTAAACACAAGTTTACCAAAATACAATCTAAATGAAATATCAATGAAATCTTTTTGTATTTTTCTATTTAACCAATAATTAATCCAAAAGATATTGAATTAATTTGAAGTTGAAATCAAATCCTTTAATCTATATCTAACAGAAAAGACATGGATTAATTTGAAATATGCAATACTTGAATGATCTAATGTGATTTTTTTTTCTTTACTAATTAGTAAAACCGATATTCACATACATCTACATGCAATACAACATGGGTTGAATTTTAAATACGCCAATCCTAAATTATTATGCATATCCTGAATTATTACATGATTATAATTTAAATTCTATATGCATTTAATTTTGAACTATGAATCAAAACACGCAAGCCAGCGAGCCAATCATCAAGTTATCACATCGAGAAATTAGTCCCACCACCACTAGGACAAGCAAATATACCTTTGATTGGACGTCATGCCAAGGATCGCCAAGGGCACGGGGATGGAGGGGCCGTGGACGTGGACACCGACAAGACGTGGTGGATCAGGACGGTCCCTCGGGTGGAGGCTCGGTGGATGCCTCGTCGTGGCTCGTGGAAGAGGGGCCTCAATGAGTTGGTAAGGAAGTGTGCGCCGGATTTTGGAGGTGTGGCGATGGATCGTGGATGTGTAAGTGTGGGGGTCCTTGTGTGCGGTATAAGAAGAGATTCACGTGAATTGCTCTTCCTCTGATGGCTTTTGCTTCCCTTCAAGATCCCCAATGGAATTGTGCAAGCCCACTGCTTCCAAGTCTGACCAATCCCTGTGAGTTTTCTCCATTGTCATGCTCTCTCTTTTTCGACTCAAGACTTGATATTTTGACCAAGCAATCCCCGTCCTCCAACATTCCAGCACTTCCTCTTTTCTTCTTTTCAATTCACTTGGCCATTGTCGACCGTGTCTTGGGTTCGTCTCGTTGTGCGAGTGAAGAACGTGAGAAGATCGTCCAAGAGAGAGATGGCGTGTGCCCTAGTGGTGAGAGTGCGTGAGATAAAAAACCGAATCTGGACGCGTGGCGATGTCTTCTGAATGTTGATGTATGAGTCGATTTGGCATCCCGCTCCCCGTGAATTGACGAAGGCCCAATTCTCAATCGTGCACGTGAGATTGAAAAGTGGGTGGCTGATTTACCAAGTCTCAATCTCTCTCTTTTCGTATCTCCAATCTTATCTCTTAGTACTCTTTTAGAACTCCTGTTACGTGGGGTTTGGAAGTGGTGTAGCCAATTGAGAGTGCAAGACTTATTCTAGGCGCTTGGTGGTAATTCCAATATATAGTAGCAGCCACTGATGAGAGAACGTCGATGTTCCAATAGCGTGAGCTTGTAACATTTGAATATCATATGGAGTTCGACCAACAAAAAAAAAATATCATATGGAGTGATGTAGAAATTGTTGAGTAATACATGTGTAAGCGCCATCCACCGGTGATCACCTTCGAGGGGCTTAGCCGATGCGGATCAACAGGGATTGTCACGAGTCCGAAGAGAAATGAGTATGTGAGAATTGGGCACGCGAGTTCAGACTCTCTGCACCTAGCTCGGGCTGGACGGGGAGATTCTCTCGAGGTACGATGGACCGCTCAACTTGACTCATGGTTTCGCGCTTAGAATTCCTCGTTGGGACGCGATCCCATTCTTATCAAAATTGCAAGTAAAGTTCTGACCTTTTTAGCAGAGGAATCAATCTTGCTTCCGGAAGTGCGTCACGTTCTCACTCTTTTAACGTTAATTCTCTCACAAAAAGTCACTGCCCGGAAGAAAACAGCATTGCTTTAATAATGGCATGTTCCATGTTTCGCACACTCGGAGTTGAAGTCCGCCGAACCGCGTGAAATCATTAGAAAGCAGAAAGAAGAAGAAGAGAGGTAGGTCGCTACGTGGAACCAACTGTGGGTGTCGAGCACCCGCAGCTTTCCTCGGTCCGCCGTGCATTGTTAAATAGGCTTCGCATGGGCGAATAATTCTTCGTCAAGCTTATAGATCGAGCGACTATCACAAGAGAAAACCACACAAAAGAATGGAGAGCAAGAAAATCTCTCGTCTTCTGACCCTCGTTTTCTCTCTTCTCATGGTTGAGGATCCGATGGCATCCCGAGTTCTGGCCGAAAATAGGCCTACTACTGGTAATCTCTATATCTATATCTCCACTTGTTTTCCTTCATTAGATTGTAGTTAGTACATATAGAAAGATCACAATTCTCATTTTGCATGCATAGAAGAAGAGGTTGGTTGATATAATGGAAGTGTTTTCATAATTTTGCGATCGAGGATATGATTTTCTTATGTGACCAACAATATTTTTTTCTTTTTTTAAGATTTTGATAGGCACTTTCCTTGTCCTATGAAACACGAAGAAATCATAGAAAGATTGATTCTTTGGAACGAAAAACTCCAATGCATAATCATAAAAGGAAAGACCCTCGGTTGAATCTACTCGAAGCACTTGATGAAAATTAAATATCACTCTAGACACGGTCAATTGTTTCACTAATGCAATTCAATTCGATAGAATTAACTGATTATAAGCCATGCTAACTTGTTCATTCATGTCCGCTCCACCATTCTATTACATGCAGTCATTGGCCTCGTCCCTTATGTCGGCATGAATGGGAGCATGCCGTCGAGGGACAAGATTGCAAGCTATCCTTTGGACTTAGGAGATGTGCCCATGCGTCCACCGGCGACAAAGACCACGATGTCGCAAGCCGGCCACCCTAACACATTTGCAAGCGCCGTTGTCTCCGCCCCTAGCAATGCTAAAGTCAATGTCCCCACCGCAGTTTCTCCTAACAGTGCCACCTCAAAAAGCAGCGTCACTAGCGCCGCTAGCGGAACCGGCGTCACAATTCCTCGACACCCTTGATGGTTTTAATGAAAAAAACCTTGATGATTGTTGTTTAGTTTCTTTCTTCTGGGGTTGTTCTCGTTCTTGTTCGATTGAAGTGATGATGTATTCCTTTGTAACGTCGTGTTTTTTAGTGTAATAAGCATGTACGATTCACGTGTAAGGTTGTGAATATCTTCTGGTCTGAGAAAGTTGCAATTTTCTTTCAAACGTAATCCAAAGCTGTGCATCGAGATTTGTTACAAGTGAAGAGGTATTGGAGAAGTTATCACATGATTTATAAATCATACGGATCAAGATTATCTGAACATTGATAATGTGGATCCTACTACTATGGGCTCACAGGATTAGTGGTCTAAATAGATTTGGTTGTTACAGAAATTTATGCTTTTAGCAAATCGTGCAATGGACCGCGAACAACAAAATTAGAGAATTCCAAAGAAAGGTAACAAAAAAAATGTAGAAGAGATCACACCACGACTCATGTGGTTTGGTCCGAATCTGTACCTACGTTCACGAGGAGAACAGTCACAAAAGATCTATTACGAGTCAGGAGAACTTACATTCTCAGTTGTTAAATCGCTTGAGTACTTTCCAACCTTAAAGTATATCCAAGCAATCTCACAAACTATTTTCTCACAATTTCTCATTGTTATCTCACGTAGAAAAATTACAGAAAGAAAATGTTAAACTCCTCTTGGATGCTCTGAATCTTAAATTAGACACCTAATTTTGTATGGGGATGCTGCATAAAACTTGCCTTTGACCCATTGTCGACTCCATGTTTCTACACAAACTCCAAGTTGGCAAGAACTTGAGACATTACGATTCAACAATGGTGATGTGATGGGTGGCACATCAGGATTTAATTACACCTTTTACTACTTTGATAGACTTAGACTTTTAGAATTTGATTTTTTAATTCTTTATCTGTTTCATAGATAGATTTTTGGAGTTTGATATTCATCCATTTCATTTACCATTCTGTCTCTTCCTCCACATTACCCATTAATTAAGGTTGACATGCTGGTGAACATTCTTGTTATCCCTGTCTTTTGAATTGATAATTTCCTGGTTCTCAAATTCAATTGATGGCTTTTATAGCCATGCCCTTTAATATAATTCCTCAAAAAATTCCTCTACGTTGCTAATTGATATGTAAAACATTTGGTCTTCCCGTGACTTCTTTACGAAAACTGGTTTTCATCCGCAATACATGAATTTTGGGCCTATGCTGAATTCCCAAATAGCTAGAAACAATAATGTGGGCCGCAATCTATTCGACTAGAGAAGGCCCAATATTAACGATGACAATGCCACCTTTCTCCTTCATTTTGGCACACACACATTAAAGACAAGAAATCAAGTTGCTATTGCTACATATATTAGGATTGGCTTACGACGGAATTAATATATTAATAGATGTGACAGATTGCAAGTATATATTAAACCAGCTAGCAATGTTCAACACCCAATAATCGTTGATTGCTTAACAAATTATTAACAATTTTGAAGCCAATTTTAGTATATTTTATACCATTAACTTTCTCCGTTGTGACACTTCGCATCCTATTGTTTTGGAACTTATATTTTGCGCCCTCTAGTTTCAAATCATATACTTATTGCTACCAATTTCCCATGATTTCTCATTCTTCAAGGTGTTAAGTGTAGGCTTTTTGGTACCGAGGTGCGAAGTGTATATTCTACTAGGTCACGATGTGAAATGAGGGTAACAGAAAGTTGAGGCGTTTCACGGTATTTTCCCAAAAGAAAAACCTCCTTTTTCTCTTTTTGGGTTCAAGAATAGATTGAGTAATAAATATGTCAACTCTTTCTCCCGCCAAATCTTGTCACATTAGATTAGGCAATTCAATTTGTATTAAATTCCGTAACATCTCAAGTTCCGTTGAAAGTGGGAGATAGATTATGAAATGATATGTAAGTGTAGTCAACCTCTAAATAGTCACAATCTTGAGTTCTCTTTTTGAACCCTTGACATGTTGGGTCTCGGCCGGTTGTTATAAGTGGTGTGACCAATTGAAATTGCAAGACTTATTCAACTTGCTTAGTGTAATTTAAGGATATAGCGGTAGCCACTGATGACAACATTAATGTTTCGATAATGTGAGTTTGTAACATCCGAATCTCATATAAAATGATGGAGAAATTGGGTGAAACAAATGTAAGTGCTATTCACCTTCACGGTCACCTCCCTAAGTACCCTTTTGTAGGAGTTAACTGACTGGGATGAACGGGGGATCATCACAACTTTGAAGAGAAATGAAGGGGCCATGCGAAGTTACGGGAGTTCAAACTCTCTTCCCTTAGTTTTGGGCCAAAAGACGAATCTCTTCACGTCGAGCGAAGAGGATAGATCGAATCGAAAGTTTCCACTTGACTTGAGTCATGATTTCACACGTAGAATCTCTCGTTTGATGCGATCCTACTGTTATAATCGATTCTTCTTACGTGTGTCCCATTCTCACGCATTTGATATTAATTCTCCGACAAAGGTCTCTCTCTGGCTCGGAAGAAAACAGCCGTGCTTTAATAACGACAAGTTCCATACATCACGCCCACTCGCAGTTGAAGTCAAGTCAATCATGTGTCATGTCATAGTCTAGTTATAGTGAGGAAAACGGGGTTGGTCGTTAAAAAACAGAGAGAGAAAAGAGAGGTCGGTAGCTACGGGGAAGGAATTATCGTGTGTCGCTTGCATATCCGCCGCTTTTCTTGGATAACCGTGCATTATCAAAGAGACTTCACATTGCTGAATAATTCTTCGTCCAAACCATAATCGAGCGACCCAGAAAAGAGGAGAAAAGCACAAATTAATTGGAGAGCAAGACTACCAGCGTCAGGATTCCTACACATCCTTGATGGTGTTAAAGAAAAAAACCTTGATGATTGTCATTTAATTTCTTCCTTTTGGGGTTGTTCTCATTGTCGTTTGATTGAAGAGATGATGTATTTTTTGGTAGAGTCGTATTTTTCAGTATAATAAAGCTTCTCCAATTCACGTGTAAGGTTGTGGTTTTAAAGTGAATGTCTTTTGTTGACACCTATTTTAATTTGCCCAACATTAATTGCACAAAATTTAGGAGTTAATTTTTTTTAATTCCTAAAACAAAAAAAATATTTCTATTTAAATGCAATGCATATAGAAATTAGGCACATTTGTATTAATAGGATCCATTAAAATTTTAAAAAAAATTAAAAGAAAATTTCCGAGTTAGGCCCGGTCGGGGCCGGGTCGACCCGGCCCTTTTTCTTTTCTTCTTTTCTCCCCCGTGCGGCCCAGCCCACTTTCCTTTTCTTTTTTTTCCTTCCCCCCGCGCGAGCTGGCCTGGCCCGGCCCAGCTCCCTTCTCTTCTTCTCTCCCCCCACGCCGACCTGTCTCTTTCTCTCCCCTGTTTGCCTCTGCTCCTGGCCGTTGACTCGACGAACGGCCGAGCGCCCCTGCGCCGTCTCCATCAGGTCAGAAGTTCGCCAGGGAAGCACGCCAATGGGACTGGCCATTAAGGCTAGTCCCGTCCTCCGCATTTCCTGGCCATCTCTCTCTCCTTCTCCCCCCTGTTTTCCGGATGTCATAGCAGCCCCTGCACCGGCCTAAATGGCCACAAAAGTCTTGGATAAGCATAGGCCGGTGCAGGCCATTAATGAAGGAGATGAGATCAGAGAGAGTGAGCTGGTCGTCGCCTATAAAAACCGGCGAGAGAGACAGAGAGGGGGTTGGCCATTTCAGAGAGAAAAAACAGAGAGAGAGAAAACAGAGAAACAGGGAGAAGAGAGAGAAAGAAGGCATACCGAGGTCGCGCCGGAGCGAAAAGGAGAACCAGCAGAGTCGTCGACGTCCCCCCGACCAGCTGGAAGCCCCCCAGACGTGCCGTCGACCGGTGAGCCCCTCCCCGGTCTAGACTGCCCCTGTTTTCCCCTGTTTTGGTGTCCGGTTTGGCCGGGACTCGCGCCGGCCATTTCGCGCGAATCCTGGCCCATACCTTCGTTCCCCGTAGCCCGTGTGTCGTCACCAAAGGTAAGCCAGGCCGCCGGAGCCGACTAGGTCGCCGGAACAGGTTGAAATCTCCCATTTTTGTCTCTGCACGCCAGGTGTTCGACGAAATGCCTCAATGAGGCCAGTTTTCATTCGGTTGCCGGCCGGCGAGCAGGCGGTCGGACGGCGACCTAGGTGGGTGGCAAAGCTTGGTGACGATCCCCAGGGGCCGGATTTAGGTCGGCGCTAGTCTGGGTCGGCCGATGGAAGGCCAATTTTGGCTCCGCCGGCGCCCCCACATGTCTGTGCACGCGGGTTCGACCCGACCCGGATCGCCCAATCCGACCGAACGGTCAACGCCCGGGTCGGGATCCGCTGACCCGGGTCGGTTCCGATCGACTTGGATCAGCCGATCCGACCCGACCGACCGACTTGGATCCATCCGCGACCCGACCCACCCGGTTTTAATATTATATTATTATTATTTAAAAAAAAAAAATCGATTTTTAAAAAAAATAGGGTATAATTTAAATATAGTATTGTTTAACATTTTTCTAAATTATGTAATATACCTGAGTGTTTTAATTTATTGTTGTATTATTATGCATGTTGTTATAATTGCATAAATTGCCATGTTTAAATTAGATAAACCTATAGGGTTATACGGTAGTACTTTGCATGTTTTCTTACTACTGTTTTATTATTATCATTATGCATGTTTTTTAATTAGAATGTAATTGCATGAACTGTTGTGTTTTGAATGTTATCCGCCTTAATTAGGGCTAGAACCTTAGGCTGCATATTTATTTTGATTGCTAATCGTTTATGATTATGCACTCGTTTGATCACCTCATATGTTAGGAGAAAGGTCCTAAAATCAATCCAAATTGCTTGACAAATGTTTTCAGAAATGAACAGGGTAAAAAGGTACCGAAATGGCATTAGTTATCCAACTAGTGTAACCAAGTCCCCGAACTCATTTAATCTCTGGTTCGTAGGAATAGGGTGATTCTTCCATCACCTTATTTGGGTTTCTAATCGACCCACCCCAAATCGATTAGTGGCGACTCCTTGATATAAACCACTTGCAGGTTAAAAACCTAAATCCTAAGTCGCAATATGGTATGGGCTTGGGAGAGCCTGAGTTAAGTCCTGAACCTAGACTTAGCATATA